AATTCAAAACTAATGCTCAGCACACACACTCATCACAATTGTCTTGATAAGACTCAACATTCAACTGCCCATATTCTGCAAAAGTGCTTTATTACTCTAAATCTGTCGATCTCCGATAACTCTTCTTGGTTGAGTTCCTTTGAAGTTGATCAGGATCGCACAGAATTTTTCTCGCCCGGTTTTGAGCCGGGGACCTTTGCCGGCGTGTTAGTGAACGTGATGCCAACTACACTAAGAAACTGCTGAAAAGCTAAGTTACACATTTCAGTGGTAGATAAACATTACTATTAATTGTAATGCCTTCAAAACGACGGACCACATGTTGATTCTGAGATCGGGAGATTCTACACTGGACCAGCCCAGCTGCAGCGTCATGGGACTTTCGTAACAACAACCTGTCATACTGAACCAAATGCTACCTGGAATGACCCTGTAACCCCTTGAAGAGCGCCACCTAGGGTTGACCGACCGCTACGGATTGCTGCTATAGCGTTCCTCGTATATCAGTGGGACAGTATCTCTGCTGCATGTCACGCCGCAGAAACCGGGGTTCGAATTCCCCGAGACGGGGAAGAATCCTTTCTCAATAAACGCCCGACTAATCTTTCACAAAAGGTGGAAGCATGCTATGTCCTACATCATGCGAACGAGATAGCCACCAACGAGGCCCCATTGGAAACACTTCAGATAGCCACGTACCTGAAACATGGCACCACTAGAATTTCGTAAGGTCATCATTATAACATCCATGACAAAGCTAACCAAATTGGAATTCAAGTACACCGCCAACAGGCCATCAAACGCCATACTTGCGTCATTCTCAAACAACTTCAGTTCAAGGACAACACATATATGACCTAATATCGAACCCAACAGGAGACAACGCTACATCCAAGCAGAGTACAAGGATGCTCAGCAAACAACTGCTGCCATCCAACAGGCATTTCTTGAAAAGACTCAAATTCAACTGCGCGCCATATTTCGACAAGGTTTTTAACTAATCTAGATCCGATAACACACATGAATCTCTGAAGTTGATCAGAAGAACTGTCTTCACAACCAACGCGGATATTATAGTAGCGTGGGACCGAACACCTATCGAGACTCGTGATAAACGTGGAGAGCGACAGCGCCTGAGCAGCCACACTACAGCACTCCGTCTGGAAAAAAAAGCTCAAGCGACTGATCCAAATAGGCGGGACATTAGTCGCCACACAGCCCCAAACACACACCCGGACGGCACGTTTCTACGTGTCATACCATAATATCACACTATTAATTAAAAAGCAGGCTGCGACAAGAACGACGCACACCGATCGAAATTAATTCTCTCTGAGACTTACGAGAGGAATCATCAACACTGGCATCACAACCAGTCAACACAGAGCTAGCAAACGACGCGGAGTAGACCTCAAGCACAATCTATCGCTAACACAACACAGTATATACTTCTACACACAGTGCAACAATCCTAGCAACACACAACATCAGCAACACCACACCCACTCGAAGAGCGCCACCATAGGTTGACGTGTTAGGGATTGCAGCAGGAGCTTCCCCGTCTAGTATATGTGGAACCCCCCCCACCAGTCACATACACTGCATCGCACACCAGCAAGACCCTGGGTTCGATTCCCCGACGGGGGCGAGCAAGATTTTCCAATAACAGCCGGACTTTATTCACCAAAGTGGAAAGCATCTCACACACAGGGTTTCACACATTCACTGTAAATGTCATAGCCATAGAACAAGAAGACTTTCTGATCCTAGATACAATATTGAGGTATTAATGTAATAACGCCAATTACGTGTGCCAGTCCATACTGTATGTATGAAAAACAATGCAATGAGTTGTTGACTTTTTACACCTGCAGGTCGCTGCGACGGGGACTAACACATCACACATCACATCACACACACACATCACGACACACCACTTATTAGCTATCATCTCATGCGAGCAGGCGACACTCACGGTACTGGCACCAAGACCCCACATTGACACGTTCCCTTTCGCGCAGTTATCAACACGTACTCCACTCTTACACTAGCAGGTTCCAAATATGAACCAAGTACATTTCACATGGAAACCCGCATAAGCGCAAACACTAAACATAACAAGGGAATAAACTATCAACCCGGAGGCTATAAACCACAGGCGGATTTGCAATCAGTCCACACAAACAAACACAGAAAGGCTAGGAACACGATGAGCATCTGGACTCGGCTATCAGATGGACAAGAAAGAAACGAAACAGGTACACATTCATTTCCACATGGCCTTATCACGTGAACTTCCAAGAGGAACTAGAAAGAAGAGAAAACAAAGCAGACCGAGCCCAAAGTGTGATGACCCAAGCGGTATTATACTGCTGGAATACACACAGAAGCCTAGATCACATACACGCCACTTAAAGCTAATAACAGCAAGTCAATGAGCAGGAATAGTTTAAAGCTCCAATCCATCAGGCTAGTTAGAAGTCGGGATAAAATCAACCAACGTCTGAGATAACGTCGCGGGTTCAATATTTATAACGAAAAACAATCCACAGTGTCAATATCAACTACGAAGAGGATAACTTTGCAATTCCTTGTGAATAATCAGAATAACCAACTTAGGAATATCCAAATACTTGAGGTTCAACTGAAAACCCAGCACATCCGGTGGAATTGACAAGTGACTGTATGAAGGGAACCGGTTGACAGAAGTTGTTCCATTAAAGAGGACTTGGCAAAGATTTCCCTTCAATCATAAAAAAAAACCCTAGGGGAACAAACAAAGGATATGTGGGAATTGTTAGGTAATAGCTGCCCGAGGATCAGTTGATTGCCAATTGCTGTTATCTTTTAGTGCTCTCGCGCGAGTGAAATGTTGCCAGAACAAAACCAATACAGGATTATAACAACAGATATTATTCAGACAAATAAAACAAAGGTAGCCCAAAACGAATACAAGTTCTGAAAGCTCGCCATGTATTAGAAAACGCATAACATGTTCTGCTCCTAGCGGAAGTGCAAAACCCTTTTGAAATACAGCAATGGAAGTAGAGCAAAATTCACAGTTTTGAGCAATTCCATCGACTGAAATAAAAATGAATAGAACGCCCATTTACTGAAGAGCGCAATGGACCAGCAACCATGCTCATGCGGTCCCTCCTGTGAAATATGAAACGATTACCAAGTTACCCGCAGTATCCTTCTCTAAGTTTTTGAATTCCCCCTTTCGACTGCTAATGACAGAACAAACCAAATAGGACATGTCAAGACACATTTATGGCATGCAAAACACGAGCGCCACAGCGGAGCTAATCCTGAAGGCAGACACAGTGTGAGGTCAATCGCAGAGTCCTCAACCATCAATGAATGACCGAACAACTGACTCCCGTGGTTTATTACATGCCTGCAAGTATTCCGCAGAAGCCAATAAGAAAACGAAGAAATATGGGTGTTGAAGGCTACAGTAGTCAGTAAGTTCCCTCGGCAGCATGTGGAGTCTCCTGTACTGTAGGAGAGTTGTTGCTAACCTCTGCCATCATCAGGCACTGCAGCACGCGAGGCCCGCGCGCTCCCGGACTCACGTCAATTGATATACGTAAACAAGTAGAATTGTCACCAAACAAACACTACAGAGACACCAAGAGCTGTGTAAATCTGGCTGCTTCCCTAAATTATGCATGCACTCAATACTATTCATAAAGGAAGTGGAAGAGGATGAAGGTGCAATAGAGAAACAAAACAGTTGGAAATACGATAAATGGACCTCAAGTGGGAATAAAGGGAGTAAAAATAAACGCCACCGCTACAAAGGCCGAGTTGGTTCGTGTTTGGAGGAAGCCGCGCAACACTTGGCAAATCAAGAATTAAGTCAGTCCAACTTCAGATTAGGTCCGGCTGTCATTCATGGATGAATAGAGGCTTATTAGATGATGCAGACCACATTTATGGTGACGGCTTGCATGCATGACGGATCAGCAGCCAGTGCAGTGTTACAGGACGCATAACTGGTGATGGCAAAAAATAAGGGTGGGGAATAGTGTTTGGTGGCAAACCCACGTCTAACATAAGCATGCGTGGAATAGGAGCGTGACACTGAGGTGTTTTTAGGGCAGCAGTTGGTTTAACCATTCAGATTGTACACACTTTGGCATCATACACTAATACAAGTCCAACGCCCGATAATGAACACCCCAGACATACTGTGTCATCAAGTAATCCTGGTAACTCCCAAGCTTTCCACTCAAATTACTTAGTGCATTGTGACATTGGGAGATGACGCAAATGTGTTCACTGGGAAAGACAAGAGCTCTAAAACACTTGAAATCATTACAGAGTTACCATGCGTCCTATAATCTAAACAATGTAAATCTAACCTATATAAAACTACAATCCATGGCTCAAGCTCAATGTAACATGCTGTAAACACCTCATCAGCA